CCTGATCCAGATGACTGGACCATCTTCTATGCCTTCCATGCGTACCTCAAACAAACGTTCCCTCTGGTGCACTCCCATTTGAAGGTTGAGACTGTCAACACCTATTCTCTCGTGTATACGTGGGAGGGAGTAGACCCAAGCCTGAAGCCGTTGCTCCTTACTGCTCATCAAGACGTTGTCCCTATCTCAGAGCAAACTAAGGACGATTGGAAACACCCGCCTTTTGAAGGCCATTACGACGGTGAAAAGCTGTGGGGCCGTGGTGCCGCTGATGATAAAAACATGCTGATTGCAATCATGTCATCTGTTGAACAGTTGCTGGAAGAGGGATACACCACGAAGCGTACTGTGCTCTTAGCTTTTGGACACGACGAGGAAGCTGGTGGTGCAAGAGGTGCTGCTCATATTGCAAAGTTCCTGGAGGAGAGATATGGTCAAGACTCTGTCTATGCACTGCTAGACGAAGGCACTGGACTAAGTTATATCGGTGGTAAGATGTTTGCCATTCCAAGTGTTGGAGAGAAAGGTGCCACAACGCTTTACATCACCTTAACCGCACCTGGAGGTCATTCATCCGTGCCTCCAAAGCATACCGCCATTGGCATTGTTTCACAGGCGATCACCGTTATCGAGAACAATCCGTTTGCATCAGAACTTACCGTTGAATCTCCAGCCTTGGGCATGTTGCAATGCATTGCCAAACATACCGACCAAATCCCACTGTGGTTGAAGAAGAACATCTTTAAAGCCGCCTACGATGCCGTTGCCAACTCAAAGGTGTTGGAATTCATGGCAAGAAAGCCGCTTTATGACACCTTTGTCAGAACAACACAGGCCATTGACGTGATCAACGGGGGTGTCAAGTCGAATGCACTTCCGGAAAGTGTGTCGTTTGTCATCAACACACGTATCAACGCCGGTACAACGGTGAAGCAGGTTGTTGATAAGATCTTGGGTAATATCGTCGAGGTTGCAGAGCAGCACAAGCTGGGAGTGTTCTTAGGCGATGAGGAGGTCTTGCCATCGTCGCCTTTCGGCAACTTCAAGATCGAGTGGGACCGTCAGCTGGAGCCGGCGCCAATCTCTCCAATGGACGATAACACCTGGGACATCTTCGCGGGCTCTGTCAAGCACATTGTTGACGAGTACTCTTATCCTCAGCTGGCACCTTCCATCGTGACTGGAAACCTGTTGATGGGCAACACCGACACCAACCGCTACTGGAATCTGACAAACCATATCTACAGATTCGAGATGACAACCTACACGATGAAAGAAGGCATCCACACCGTCAACGAGTACGTTCTGTTCAACGACCATCTGAGCGAGATCGCCTTCTTGTACGAGTACGTGAAGAGCATCAACGACTTTGCTACCGCACCTTAGTCCATGTGCCTACCATCCACTAATGTTCCAGTATTGGCGCCATCTATAAACCACACGAACTAATACAAACATCCTCTCAGCATGCTATCTCTACTGTAGGCAACCAAGCATCCCACGGCTTGCCCAGGGGCTGGTCCACCGGCTTATGAACCCCCTTGGTGGGCATGCCGTATCAGTGCTGCGCTCCCACTGCTGATAGCGCCGATCGCACGAGGCTCTGATAACGTCCATCACAAGGGGGGGGGGGAAGGAAGGAGCCCACAAGATATTCGTTGACACTCACAGTTGCTTCCATCAACACTCATTAATCCACCAAACAGGATCAACATGAAAGGAGCTTACGCCAATACGAAGCACTCCTCCCTGAGAAGATGGTTCCCTCTTATCTCAACAGGCCTGCTGCTGCTCTTATCACCGTGCATTCCGTACAAACTGTACAAGGAGATTGATATCACGGGACAAGACCTGGACGGGCTGTGTCCACTAGGCGAGGCTATACGTCCCTTGTCTTTCATCAACGATAACTCCACACTGGAGTACATCCTCAAGGATGAGGACTATAAGCAGAGCGCTGCCCAGAGACTGGGCGGGGTGGTGAAGATCCCGTCCATATCTTACGATGAGATGCCTGAGCCCCGTGGCGGCGACGCTGTGTGGGAGCCCATGAAACGAGTCCATGAGTACCTGGAGGCGCAATTCCCACTGGTCCACACGAGTCTCACAGTGGAGAAAGTGAACGAGGTCGGCCTCCTGTACACGTGGACAGGGTCGAATCCCTTGCTGAAGCCCATGCTGCTCACAGCACACATGGACGTTGTGCCAGTGGAGCCAGAGACTCGCAAGTTTTGGAAGTACGAGCCGTTCAGTGGCCACTACGATGGTGAAAGGGTCTGGGGACGAGGCGCTTCAGACGATAAGTCGATGCTCATGGACATCTTGGAGGCGCTGGAGAAACTGCTCAAGGAGCAGTACCAGCCTTTGAGGTCCATAGTGGTTGGGTTTGGCTACGATGAGGAGAGTGCCGGGAATGGCGCTTATCACATTGCACAACTCTTGCAAGGGCGGTATGGTGAGAACTCCTTCTACTCCCTCGTGGATGAAGGCTCGTCCCTCACGAAGATTGATGGGAGAGTGTTTGCCTTTCCCTCTGTTGCAGAGAAGGGAGCCACTGCGTTGACCATCTCGTTGACTACTCCTGGTGGACACTCTTCAGTGCCACCTCCTCATACCAACATTGGCATCATGGCCAAGCTCATTGACGAGATCGAGTCTAGTCCTTTTGGCTATGAGCTGGCAGAGGAGAACCCGACACTCACCAGGCTGCAATGTGTTGCCAAGTATACCAATACGTTTACCGGGATGCTGAAGAAGTGTATACTGGGTGCTCATAAGAGCTCTCTGGCAAAGAGAAAGGTGGTGCAGTACCTATCAAGCTCGAGAGAGACAGAGTTCAACATCAAGACCACACAGGCTATCGACATCATTAAGGGCGGGGTGAAGGAGAATGCTTTGCCGGAGTATTCGTCATTAGTTGTTGACCACCGTATCAATGTTGGATCTTCGTGGAATGAAACCACCACGAAGATCTTAGATAACGTGCTGAGGGTTGCCGAGGCGTTCAACTTGGGCGTCGTGCTTGGAGATGATGAGATAGTTAGCCGTACTGCTGATGGTGTCTTTCAGATAACTTGGGATAGACAGTTGGAGCCAGCTCCTGTCTCGCCAACTTCAGGCGAGACCTGGGATATCTTCTCAGGTTCGATTAAACATATTGTTGAAGATTACATCGACCCTGAGGGGCCACCAGCAGTGGTGACAGGTAATTTGATGATGGGTAACACCGATACGTGCCAGTATTGGAATCTCACTGAGAACATCTATCGGTTCTCTATGTCCGACCCAGGGGCCCAGAAGTCCCGCATTCACAGCGTGAATGAGTATCAGCTGATGAGCAGCCATCTCTACGGAATTGGATTCATCTACGAGTACATCAAGAACGTGAACGATTATGCAACGGTGCCTTGAGCACAGACCCCTATATTATTCTGTCTATGTTATGCCAGCTTAGACATCCTTCCAGACGGCCTTTTCCAACGAGCCAGCTTTCTTCTTTGCGTGTAGTTTCTGTTTAAAGAACCCACAATAGACCAGTTCTTCACACTTTTGAAGGAAGAAAGTCAGGGTCAGCTTGTCCCATTTCAACTCCGTGGGTATATTCTTGTCGTTGAAGAATTGGTAGATGTACTTGAATCTTAACTCATCAGACAGATACGATTCAAGTATATTGGACTCGTCGTCGAGAATGAGCTCAAGGTCACGCATGATTTCATCCTTTGGGAGAGAACTCTTGAACACCGCGTAGTAGTCGTAAATGTTCAAGTCCAGCGTGGTCTCTCTGTATATTGTGAACATGGTCGAGATAACGGGTTCCATGGAATTGTTTAGACGGTCCAACACTTCATGGCCAGTACACGAGCCTTCCAAGTAGGCTTCTGGGTTGATAAGTGCCTCCATAATGTCATTTTTGGTCGATGGGACCAGGTTCTGTTTAACGACGTCCACATCTGAAAGCGTGAATAGCTCATGGAACGTTATGTGATAGGGATTCTCGATGTTGCTCTTGAGGAAATCGCTCAAGATTGAGATGAACAGCTTCACAAGCTTACGGGATTCAATCTTGAAGTTCATCTTCTCAGCATATGAGCTGCCTCTGAATCCATCGAGTGAGTTGAAATCGACATGTGTCTTCAACTTGAAGAACAAACCATGGAGGAAGTCATTGTCATGTGATTCCTGTTCAATTTCAGCAAAGATGTCCTTTAAATCTTCAACAGTGATTGAATCCAATTTTAGCAAGAGTTCACTAACAAGTTGTTTAGAGATGAGACTATCTCTACTGGTCAGTTTGCAGTATATTTCGAGATGGGTCATGCCTGTTCTGAACGTTCTTTTGCCGATAACCTCAGTGAATAGCCAAAACACAGATTTCAGGCAATGTGTATAGATTTTAAAGGACTTGATGGACTTTATAAGCAGTTGTCTAGTGGCATCATCACTCTGCAGCAACGATTTCAGCTTTGAGTTGTCATTTGCTGAGTCTACCAATGAGCTGATATATTTCCTGAACGATGGTAGTGTTTTTAACGCATTCAAGTATCGCGTGGGGAGTTCCATCAGTTGTTCTTCACCAAGGAATGGTATGATTGACAGTGGATTTGCAAAGAAATGAGTCATGTTAGCGTACGTAATGGTGTTCATGAAATCACCAACGTTTTTAACTGAACCCTTGAATCTGCGTAGGATAAACCCCGCTAACTCCTCATCCAGTAGCAGTGTATCTGGTACAACCAGGTCTGAAACGACTCTGTTGATGATTTGATCAGTTTGTTCGATGTTGAACCTATGGAATGTCATCATATGTAGTACATCATGTGATAGCTTCTGAGAAAACGTCTTGATGTTTGTCCCAACGTTGAATATCAACTTCAGAGGCAATCTGTCCGAATATGAATGTAATAGCCTCAGCAAAGCATTAAGCAAAGACAGATTGAACGATTCAATATCTTCGATAACAAGCACTATACGTAATTGTGAAGTATGGATGTTGTTCCCATTCTTTTTCCACACGAGATCGCACCATTCCTGGGCAATGTCCAGATCCCATGGATGTCTTCTATCGAATGTCTTGATCTCGTCTTCATCTTCTTCGTCATCGTTAAAATCATCAAAATCATCAAGATCAATAAGCTGGTCCTTTTGGAAATTCTCTATCGCTTGTACATTTGAGTCTGCATCTCCCGTTATGCCCTTCACTATGGCCTTCAATGTCGATCTCATTGTTCTTGATTCCTTTGAGTTTATCGTAACGACTTTGTAGTTGTTATTTGCAGTGAGGTGGGTGGTCAGCTGTGATAGGAAAACCAAACTTGTTGAAATGCTCGAATTTGATAATAATACACATGTGTCCATAGTCTCACCCAGTGGATTGGCAACAATTGCCTCAATATCATTCGAGGATAAGAGCGTTAAGGAACTTAATGTTGATTTCAATTTGGTATCTTGATATGTTTTCCTTGATTGGAAAGTACTGTAACGTAACGCTGTGTACTCTTTAGGCTCATCACCCTTGAATAGTTGCAGAAAAGGTGTTCCATTCAGACTATAAGGCTTTGCTTCACCTGATATGAGGGATCCATCGGTATCAACTCTTTGACGTTTTGATTTTTTTAGGACGTACGCAGTCTGACGAAGTTGTTAGTCATATTGTTCTGTTCTGAGTGTTGTATGACCATGACCACATACCTGTTGCGACTGCATATACTGTTCCTCATTCATGGTTGTTGAGGAGTTGCCTTCTCTTCGAATGAATTATTTACTTGTATTCGCTGTAGATCAAGACTAATTTTTTTGATCCACCATGTTTTTGTCACGGTGATCAATCCCAGTTGGGATATGTCCACCGAACTAAGAAACATAATCAGAAATTGGCGAAAGAGGAGAGAAACAAAATAAGCCAAACAAGTCAAAAGGACAAAAATAGTGGAATCCCGCGTTAAGGAGAACAGAACCAATTGGACATCGGCAAACATGAGCGACAAATGGAGGGATCAATGATCAATAACGATGCAGCACACTTAGCTGGTGGCCCGTGCCATAGTCATATGGTCACATTGTCAGATTGACTGACACCTTCGTGTCTCATATTTGTTCATTTTGTTCATTTTCCTTTACGGTGTTCAATATATGACAATTGACTACACGTTCCCACCACCTAAACATCAGGATAGTCGCAGCGATGATTAAGGTAGAGTCCCCAAAGACTTGACACCAATTCCCAAACACCTTGAGGTAAGTGTAAACACCAGGAGTAGGAGCGCTGTTCGTACGCTTACCAGCACTACAAGACGGATACAGTCCCAATCACGGGTATTTGAAAACCAGTATGGTGTGCCTGTCAAAGCCGATTAAGACTAAAAGTGTAAACTGTACAGCGCTGAATATCTACAACGACCTAGCTGCGAATAACGTGGAGAATACACAGGATATAGAACATGATCTGAACTCTACCGCCGAACGTACACACAAGGAGGACCATCTCTGAACCTTTGGAGGGCCGCGGACAAACACAGAGATCAAACCCTTGAGAACCGGCGTTAATGTGGATGTTCAGGACAAACATTTCTAGCCAGCCCAACACATCGTTCTCCACAATTTACACAGCTTTCGTTGATCATTTGTCTAGTTTGCCCAGTGTATTAAGTTTGTGTCGTGACCTTCTTGGCCGTAGAACAATCACCCCATTGTACTCCATCTGTGATTACTTTATCCAGACCAACAACGCAAAGTTGGTCGTTTTCAGGTTGCTGATAACCACTGCTCTAATTCATCATCATGTTCCATTTTTTGCAGGCCCGCCCTGCTTCACATGTCCAGTTTTAACAAACGGACTTGAAACTGGACTGGATTGCGACCAGCGGAAAAACAAAAGCAACGTTGAACGACAAAAACATACTGCTACTGAAGGAAAATGTCTCGGGCAAACCAAAAAATGTCCCATACTTCCCTAGACATCTTGTCCCAAAAATTTATCCCCTCAAGGCAGACCTGCGATGCATGGCGAAGGAAAAAAAAAGTCCCAAACTTGCAACGGCCAAAATTTACATAGAAAAAGCCGAGGAAAGCGCCAAAAACCAAAAACACAAACAGAAGAAACATAAACATCATCACCGTTTATTCTTTTGTTTAATCAAAGTTTTATACTCGGAACAATGCCGCACTTACCATTGCCTGACTACGATAAGGTCCACGGCCTTAAGGACCTCATTCCACGTCTTGCGTTGCCTTTCGACTTGCACGACCATTCCGACCCTGTTCCGGGTACAGAGACTGAAGAGTTCTCTCCAATCTTCAGAAACGGTTATTTGAAAGGTGGCGAGCCAGTCGGTTACCTCCATGACTCCCTCTTAACCTTCTACGACTTCTTCGAGCAGTCGGTCAAGCTCTTTGGTAAGAACAAGTCCATTGGCCACAGAGAGTTTAATCCAAAGACCGGCAAGTTCAACGAGTATTACTCTTGGGACACCTATGACCAATTGGCCGCCAATAGAACCAAGTTCGGATCCGCTATGATGCACTTGGTCGAGAAGTATGCCCCAGATGCTGATCTGGAGAACTTTGTGCTTACGCTGTTCTCCGCAAACAAGCCTGAATGGATTGTTGCCGATTTGGCGTGCCATGCCTACTCCATCCCAAACACTCCGTTATACGATACTTTGGGACACGAGTCTACTGAATATATCCTCAAGTTGACAGAGTCCCCAATTGTGCTTCTCTCAAAGAACAAAATCCAAAAAGTATTTGAGGCTCACACCCCTTTCCTCAAGATTATGATCTCTATCGAGCCACTGACCGCTGACGACGAAGAGCTGGTCAAAACTGCGAAGGACCAAGGTATCGAGTTGATTGATTATGCCACTGCTCTGGACATTGGTACAAAGAACCCGAAGCCTCACAGAATTCCAACACCTGACACCTTGTACACCATATCCTTCACCTCAGGTACCACCGGTGTTCCAAAGGGTGTCGAGTTGAGACATTCTCATATCGTTGCAGCTGATACTTTCCTATTTGCCCATGTTCCAATTCCAAAGGAACCGGTCTCATTGGTGTTCTTGCCTCTGGCCCATGTCTATGAACGTTTCAAAATCATTTACGAGCTCAGTCAAGGTGCTGCAATTGGATTCCCTCATAACCCAGAGAATCCAAGATCCTTCATGGAGGACATCAAGTTGTTGAAACCAACACATATGTCCTCTGTCCCAAGACTCTATAACAGAATTGAGAGTGGATTGAAGGACAAGATCAAGACAATGCCTGGATTCAAAGGTTGGTTGGTTAGATTCGCCGTCGATTACAAATTGAAGCACGACGACGATTCGTTCTTGGTTAAGATCTTACAACCGTTGGTTCTTAACAAGATTAGAGAACAAATTGGGTTCGGTAAGTTGGACTTCCTCATCTCTGGTGGCTCCCCATTGTCTGGTGACTCCATCTTTTATCTTCGTAAAGTTTTGAACTCTGGGTTCTTCCAAGGTTATGGTTCTTCAGAGACGTTTGGTGGTATCGCCATCACTACAAAGCATGCAAAGGACACATCTAGAACTGGTGCCATTGGTGTCACCGCAGAGTTCAAGTTGAGAAACTTGCCGGATTTGAACTACACGTACAAGGAGAATAGATCAGGTGAGTTGTTACTTAGAGGTCCACAGGTGTTTAGCACTTATTTCAAGAACCCAGAGGCCACTTCCCAAGCTGTGGATGCAGAAGGTTGGTTCAGTACTGGTGACATTGCCCAAATTGATGAAGGTGGCCGTATTGCAATCATTGATCGTGTGAAGAACTTTTTCAAATTAGCCCAAGGTGAATACATCGCTGCGGAGAAGATTGAAAACTTCTACCTTGCTAACAACTCATTCACATCTCAATTCTTTGCATACGGTGACAGTTTCCAGAACTATCTCGTTGGTATTGTCGGTATCGAGGAGCCAGACCTGTTGAAGTTGTGTCAACAGTCGAAGACCTACACCAAGATCAAAACCCATGAACAACTTCTGCAGAGACTGAATGATTTGGAGTTCAGAAAGTTCATTATCGGTGAATTGAACAAGAACGTTGATCACTGTGGCTTGTTCTCGTTTGAGAAGATTAAGAATGTATATTTGGCTGTTGATCCATTCAAAGTCGATGATGAGACAATCACTCCAACAATGAAGTTGAAGAGAAACAACGCTCAGAAGCACTTCCAGTCGGTGATTGATGAAATGTACAAGGAAGGTCCTATTGTCTAAAATACTGGACAAAAAGAAATGTCTGTCGTGTATTATAGCTTTGGAAGAATGGAAATCACAATGATTGAAAACAAAAATAGTAGAATCACCAGGGCGAAGATCTTCAACGCTGTAAACAGGGATAGCTCGTTGATGGTCTTTGCAAGGTTCTTTGTAGATTTATTGATCTTTTTATGAGTTACCTGCAATCCAGCCTCAGCAGCTTTGAGGATATCTTTCTCCTCGTTGAGCTTGTCGTTGAATGCATTGGCACCTTCTTTTAAGCCCTGGACAAACTGGAGCATGTCCTTGAGGATGTCGTCCTGCTTAGCCTCCTCTTCATGAAGTTCCTCATCCATGGACAGCTGTCTCTTAGTGGTATGTGATCTTCCATCTGTTAACCTCTGCTTCAGTTGGGTCAGGTTCTCATCGTCTTCCACTGCGCTGGAGCCAACCAGCTCGTCAACAGGTTCAAGTCCAACTGCGTGTAGGTCAACAGACAACCGTTGATTTCTTTTCTTCTTATCAGTTGCGAGAGTCGATTCCAAGAGAAGAATACTTGGAAGCTGCACTTGTTCTATGGAATTGGCATACTGTTCCAAAAGATCGTTTACTTTCTCATCCTTCTTGGATTCCACCAGACGTATCCGTATGGACTTGAGCGTGGACAGGTGTTGCTTACAGAGGAGATAGTTGGCGTATGCTGCTTTATCATCGTTTGAATGATCAACCTGGGCCTTGAACTCATGAAGTTGCTGTGAAATAAGGGCAGTATTGGTCATTTGTCTCTTTAATGGCCTCGAGGAACAACGCTGGCACTCCATCAAGAGACAATTGTATGGGAAACCTG